TTCCAACAATTTTTAATAAATTTAAAAGAATTGTATAAGTGCACTAATATAGTTCATCAATTGGAGATCCACAATTCGCAGTCTGTTCGAGAGATACGTGCGAATCTAGATAACGAATCGCCATTTAGATTACGGCGATACGGGCGACCCACGTTCGGCGCCGAAATTCTATTAAAAAAAACTTTAACATCCTCATCTTCATCTTACTCGCACACTCAATCCATCAACGAAAATATTGAAGTTCGTTGAATTTACGAATTGTGCGATTTCTTCAGAATTCGACCACCGGTTGCTGCGCGAAGAACGAATCGAGCGACAACAGAAGAAGAAAAAAAAACAAAAGAAAATAAAAACAAAGGGTGTTGTTTCGTTTCCATGGATTGCAATTGGGAGGCGGCTGCGTTTTCATTTTTTTTTTTGTTGGTTCCGGATGTCGTGTTGCCATGAAACGGGCGAGACGCTGATAATCAATATTTGGCTGTTCCGAATCACCGCCTCCCGGATCAACAACATCACACAACCACCCCCGCCGGCCCCCCACCAACGAGAAATAGTGCATATGTTTCTACGAGTTGGAGAGAGAGAGAGATTCGAATCGATCGGGGAAGCAATTTTCCGCAAATCCGAAACCGGAATTGAAGAAGAAGAATGGGGTCTGACCCAATTACAATCGACTAACCCTATGCGATTTTGTTTTTTTATTTAAAACAAAGAAGCGATGACACGAATGAAGCGGAATCAAAACAAATGCCATTGTGTTTATTTGTTTTTAAACGAGACCGTTTGTTTTCGTTTGGGGGCGCCTTCTGGATGATTTATCTATTAATCCTTGCGCAACTACAGAATACACACAAATGTGACACTACCACCACCACCCACCCACGACTTACTATGATATTATTTATTTTTTTCGGTTCGTTCGTTTCGGTACGATCCGATTAACTTTGCTGCCCATCGATGAACGTAACTCGATTACTCAATTGATTTTTCCTCTTCAATCCCGCGATTTTCAACCCTAGAGAAGAGGGTGTTTGTGTTTTCTTTTGTTATGTTATGTGTGTGCGCTTGAATGAATGCAAGCAATGGTTTTTTTCTTGTATTTTTTTATGTGTGTGTGTGTGTTTTAAAGCGCGATGCGAAGCGGTGCGTCGGGGCGGTCGGCCGGCCGGAGCGGAACTGAGGCGACGCCGACGTCTCTCGCAAATCCCGGCGGCCGCGCGCGTTCGCTAGGCGGAAAGGGCGCGCCGCGACGCTCAATCTGAAACAAATGCACGACGACGACGACAACAACAACAGTAGACGATCGAATCGGTCATGGATTGAAATTTCATGGCCCTGTTGATTACTTACTAGTAACAACAACAACAAAAACGAAAGGCAGAAACAGCAAATTTTAATTGCGTTCATCAATTAGTTGGAAATTGAGAATGCGACCGTTAAATCATTTGAAAAGAACGATAGAAAGAAACTGTTTTTACAGTTTAAACGCTATATCCTCCTGCTTAATTGTCTAATTAACAACATGCAATTAATTCATTAAAAACGAGTGATTGTTAATGTTGACTGAAAATCTTAGATTTTTTTTTCTAGTACAGATCAAAAAAAAAATATAGCAATTTTTAGTAATTTCTTCTATTTCCAACAAGTTTAACATATTTCTACTAATTTTTACAAAATTCCATCAATTTCTACAAATTTTTTTTTTCTCAATTTCTGTAATTTCCAACAATTTTTAATAAATTTAAAAGAAAAAATAAATAAAATTGATTGAGTTTTGTAAGCGCCTCTGACAAATTATGATAAGATACGAAGAAACTGTTGGAATTCGAAAGATAAAAATATTTCTACTAATTTTTACAAAATTCCATCAATTTCTACAAATTTTTTTTTCTCAATTTCTGTAATTTCCAACAATTTTTAATAAATTTAAAAGAAAAAAATAAATAAAATTGATTGAGTTTTGTAAGCGCCTCTGACAAATTATGATAAGATACGAAGAAACTGTTGGAATTCGAAAGATAAAAATATTTCTACTAATTTTTACAAAATTCATCAATTTTTTTTTTCTCAATTTCTGTAATTTCCAACAATTTTTAATAAATTTAAAAGAAAAAATAAATAAAATTGATTGAGTTTTGTAAGCGCCTCTGACAAATTATGATAAGATACGAAGAAACTGTTGGAATTCGAAAGATAAAAATATTTCTACTAATTTTTACAAAATTCCATCAATTTCTACAAATTTTTTTCTCTCAATTTCTGTAATTTCCAACAATTTTTAATAAATTTAAAAGAAAAAATAAATAAAATTGATTGAGT